GATAGAAATAAACTTCGGTCAAAGAGCTGACGGGGACGTGAGCCAGTGTCAGACATCTGCCATCAGAAACCTCAGCCCCCCCACGAGCTTCCTCCCTGAGTCCTCCCGGTGGAAGTGGAGGAAGTGAAGCAGATGAGAACTTCCTGTCCCGAGAGAGGGTGGGAGGACTGACGTGACGGGGACGGCGGCAGCCCCCCCAAGCACTCGGCACTGCAAGTGCCCCCTCTCACAGTCTCCCCTCGACGGCCCTAGTGTGAGTGTGACAGCACGCCTGCTCCCCGCTCAGATGCTGACGGCCGATTGCGGTGCATTCGCGTTTGGTGCCTTCGGTGTTCTCTGTTCTCAGCCTCCTTAACCACTGTTTAATTAACGATTTCGCTGATGTGTTGGACTGTCCTCGTGTCTGGTATGTGTCTGTGAGGGACCTGACGGGGCCAGTGGCCCAGCTTCGCCTCTGCCCTGCCCCCTCCCAGGCACCTGACACCAGGTGCCCTTCCGGCTGGGCACCCCCCAGCCCCCCAACATCCCCTGCCCCCGTCTCCCTTCAAACCAAACCCCATCTCTCCAGGGCCCCTCAGGTCACAGGGAGGGTGTTGGGGACCCAGACCGCACGAGGCTTGGGTTGCTCTGACTGGTGGCTTAAATGCTGAGGCCCATGTGGCGGGGGCGGGGCACGAAGACTCAGGTGTCCCTCAGCAGACACTTGTACTTGTTCATCCTTAATCCAAAGCGGGGGTGAAGTGCTCTTCAGCCCTGACACCAAATCAGATGCAGCCAGGAGACGCTGCGGCACCACCCCATGAGCACGGCCACCGCGCTCCTGGCATTGGTCCCCAGCACGGCCTCTGAAGTGCACTGAGCTCTGGTCTAAGGACTTCCCATGTGAAGGAACTTAGTCTCCCCAAAACGAATGTATGAGGCGGGCACAGTCATCGTCCCCACGTTACAGGCAGGGTAACAGGGGCACAAGCCACGCGATTTGCCCAAGACGTGTAGGTGGTTTGTAGCAGAGGCAGGTTTTGAAGCGAAGCTGTCCCAGCTGCAGTTAGGGCGTCTGTGACTGGTGTCGGAGAATCCATGCCATGTCCTCGTCGGAGCCGCCGCGTGCGTCAAGCGCCTGCTGTGTGTCTGAGGCCCAGCGACGGGGGTGGAAGCGTACAGCACGGCCCTGCCCTGCCCTGTTCACAGGAACTTCCATTCTTACTAGGAATTAAGGGCTTGCGTGGATTAGTGAATTCCTCAGGTGTGTTTAAAATCTGATGGTGTGAGGACGTGACTGCTCGCTGCCAGGTCAGGTTAGCAGCGGCAGCGTGGTGGGCGACGGGGCTCTCGACAGTGAGAGGAAGTTTTCTCAACAGAATACAACTTCTTAATCCCAGTTACAGTCTGGTGGAGACCCCAACAAGCAACTCTGATGTGAAAAAATCTTGTATTTTGAACCACAAACCTTGAAATATTACTCAGGAAGTAATGACAATTTGGGCTCCCAAGCGCACCCCAAGATTGAATTTTGGGGTTTGTTGCGGGATCCTCTGGCCTAGAAGCCTCTGCAGAAAATCACTGTGGCGAAGGAAGTGATCATTAATGGCTGTGCTCATTCTGCCCCAAACGCACCTTTTCCTGAGGCGCCTCGTGTCTCCAACGTCGGGCTTTCCCACGCGCCCCCACCTCCCGGCACAGCCAAGTCAGCACACGTCTTTCTGGTTTTCAGCACCAGCTGAGTAAATGAAACATCCCCACGGGGCCCCCTGAAGTTGTGCGTCCTGCACGTGAAGGAGGAGCGGCCTGGACCAGAGCCCGCTGCCCAGACGTCCCGAGGGCGAGGGCAGGTGGCCGCAAAGAAGGAGGCAGTTTTTGCTGTCATCTTAAAAACGAATCATCACCGCTGTGGCCGCGCTGTGGACAAGCGTTCCCTCCCGCAATCCCGTGTTTGTGAATAGGACCTGGAAGTTCTAAATTGTCGCTGATTATTTGATTATCTCAGCTTGGAGCCGGCTGCGTAACGACTTCCCAGTAGGGTGCTGAGCTGCTAGTTCACAAACTCCTTCTGAACAAGCTTTTCAGGAAATTTGTAACAAATCCATTAAATTAAAATGGATCTGTGCTATATTGAGAGGTAACTGAACCATATGGGGCCCGTCCAAGTGATGCTCCTTTATTTCTTCCTCCAACCCAAAGAAGATCCCACGGACGCCTCTTCAGTGAGCGAGGCAAGGCCGACTCTTTCACCGTCAGGGCTGCTACCACTGGCGGAGGGGGAAGTCGGATCTCTCACAGGATACGTTTGGAACGCCCTGTTTAATCAGATATCTGTCTAGTCGTGGTCTAACTTTGCAGTGAGCTGGAAATCCTTCGCACGTGTAGACGCGTTTCTGAGTTGGGGTTCTCACTCTGAAGAAGCGCAGTCGCAACTCTGGCTGCACTTCAGAACCGCCTGGGGGCTCTGAGAAACCCAGACGCCCGGGCCACACTCCAGGCCAGCTCGGTCAGAACGTCTAGCAGGGGACCCAGGCATCAGCGTTTCCTTTAAAGCCCCGTGAGGGCTTCCCCTGTGCTGCCCAGGGCAGTGGTTTTCAGCCCTGTGCATGCGGGAGCCTCACGGGAGGGCACAGTGGAGAAGACGGCTGTCCCCGCTCCCACCCCCAGGACCCCGTCTGTGGGGCTGGTTTGGGGCTGAGCATTCACTGTTGGCCTGGGAGTCACACTCTCCAGAGGCAGGACTGCAGGCCTGTTCAGAAAACCCGAGTCCAAGTCCCAGTAAATCAGGACATCTAAGTCTCATTTTCAACATCCGCAGAATGGGCACAGCAGTGAGTCCTGCCCACAGTCCTGAGAGAATCCAGTAGGACTTCTGCGCACAACCTTGGTAAAACTTCAGGTCTGCCGTATTTGGGGTCTTGCAACTGACAATGAACAGAAACTCTTAAAGGATAATTTCCAAAAAGGTAACATCGTGACCTGAATGCAAATGTAAACATGCATTTTTATTGACTTCATTAATTAATAAGATACAAAAACAGGTTGAAAGTAGCATCTAAGAGCAGGAACGTGATCGGCCGTCAGGATGCTGACATGAGCTCCCTCAGAGAAGAAAAACCGAGTACTATTTCAGGCAGTAAAATGTAATGTTTGGAAAAAAACAGAATGTCGGGCTAATCCTCTCTTCAGGCTGGAGATCAAGTCCATCTCCACGGAGGAAAGGAACGTGCATTGCTCTGAAGGGCACACACCTGCATCACGGTGGACGCAAAGCACCCGCCTCACCGCCTGTCGTCCACAAGCCCGCCTCTGTCTGCCGGAACAGCAGGCCAGCAGGGACGGGGCCAGCGTGGAGTCGGACGCGCCTGCGGGCGGGCCCACACCGCCAGGGCCCCAGCGCAGGCCCTCGTGCACGGCAGCCCGCGCGAGGCCATCGGGAAAGGCCTGCAGACGGCTCCCGCCTGACGCCCCAGCGCGTGGGCTCTTCCCTCCGACTTCTCCTTCTGCCCGGGCGCCCCCGGGGGCCCAGCCGCTGGGCGCCAGTCCCATCCACTAGACAGCGCCTCCTTGGATCCCACTGGTAGGGTTATTTGTGCAAAATGGAAAACAATCAGCCATCTGAGGAAACCTAGAGCAAGCAGCACTTTCTTAAGTGGCTCCACACACACGCTCAAAACCTCTGACGGAAACGCGAGAGGAGGGACTGGAAAAGGAGGTGGAATCACGTAACACCGCTGCTCGTCACGGTAAAGGTGCTTTTTTGGCAGGCAGTTGTATACCTATCAGAGTATTTTCTAAAATAACTTAAAACCGTGAGAATCTAGGAAATCCGGAGACACTCGCCCACGCGTATCTGCAAATTCCTTTGGTGATGTCCAGCCCCAAGGCCCCGCTAACTGCGACTTCAACACAATTTATGGTTCCAGTCAAGGGCCTGATTGCATTTACTTTGCTGGTGACAGACTCAATTCATTTCCCCCAGGAAAAATGATGCATTAGCCATCAGGCTCCTGGTCCGGGGACGACACGTCTTCCCAGAGCCCTAGCTCTGCACCTGGGGCCCGGCCTGGGCTCCTGAGATGTCATCAGCAGCTGGTCAGGCGCCGGCTCGCCTGCGCGGAGGCCAGGGTGGTGCCCTCTGACCTGCCATCCCGGGGAACCGGCAGGACGTCTCTGTCAGCTGCAAAGCAGGTGCCTGATGAAGGAAGCCGGACAAGCATGGGAGGCCTGGCTTGTGGAACGGCCGGTTTCGGCAGGCTGGCGCACCACTCACCGGGAGGACCGACGGGCTTGGACAGCGCGCACGGGTCCGAGCCAGGAGGTGCGTGCAGACCGGCCGCCGTCCACCCTTGTCAGAGCTGGTCCTCCCGGGGGCGCCCCCTCCGCCTCCCCCAGAGCATGTCAGCCCCGCACACGGCCACCTTGAAACCCACCCTCTGCAGACATCAGGTGAACCGGGTGCGGGAGCCTGTGCGCCGCGGGCCCGGGTGCTGCGGCTGCTGCTCTATCCGTGTCGGCGGCCGGTTTGGCCAGGGTGCTTGTGTGAGACGGAGTGGACGTCTGGAATTTGTATGTTTTCTGGAGACAGAAAAGGAAAGCGCGTGAGCAGAATCTGCCCAGCTGGCCACACATTTGGGGACCAAGGCCTCCCCTGACCAAGAGGGGCCTGTGGATTCTCGGGCGAGGGCTGATCAGGCAGGTAAAGACACACGTCAGTGTCCAGAGCAGCCCACCCTCCCTGGGCTCCTCCCCGAGAGCTGGCTGCGAGGGGAGCCCGCGTGTGCGGAGCCGGGCCCGCAGCCGGGAAGACAAGCTGCGGCAGAAGCCCTGAGGGAAGGTCAGCAGTGGCCTGTGTGGCCTGTGCTCTGCCTGACTTTGCCACCTTGGGTCCCGGCGGTGGGTGCTTCCTTCTTTCGGAGACAAGTCTTTTTTTTTTTAAATCAAAGCTACTTAGCTTTGTCTTTATTTGGGGTTTTTTTTGGGGGGGGGGTGTAGGTAATTAGGTTTATTTATTTATTTCAATGGAGGGACTGGGGATTGAACCCAGGACCTTGTGCATGCTAAGCACGCGCTCCACCACTGAGCTCTCCCCTCCTCCTTGAAGATCAGTCTTGCTTTGACATCACCTCTGCTCCACTCTCTCTCCCCGTGGCAGTAACTTGGAGGGGCTCCCCGATCATGAAACGCACTCACAAGCACGAACCTGAGAAACAAGACACGCCAGCAGGGCCCACCCACCTTCTCAGAAGCGACCTGATGCCCTGGCTGTGGAAACTGGGCGCAAGTTTCAGGCAGATTCCTGGAGGTGCAACAGGACTGGGAGCAGAACTGGGTTTCCAGGGCTGGGACCCCTGAAGTCCTGCCCACGGAGGAGGACCCAGGGCCTGGGAGGGGAGGGGCTGCATCCCCCAGGCCCATGGCCCTCTCCTTGCAGACTTTCTGGGGCGGCACCAGGTCCGTGATCACAGGCCCCGCAGAGGGCACAGTCTGGGAGTGCCAGGGTCCTGGGGAGGCTGCCCGGAGTCACTGGGGAGGGACCGCGTGGGAGTCATGGGCATGGTGAAGGCAGGGCTGATGGATGAGCCCGTTGGTAGTAAGCAATGTGCTCCGTCCCCGTCCGTCCCTGAGAGGTCCTTCTGACTGGTGACAAGGGGCTCCTGAGAAGCCCTTTCTCCTCCCTCACAGACGCGCAGCTTGACTCTGAGATCCGCCGGGTTAACAGCTGGGCCTCCGTGTGAGAACACGAGCCGACCAGTCAGAGGACCAGTCAGAGGACCAGTCAGAGGACGTACAGAGACGGGCCTGAAGGCAGCTCCGCGCTGCAGGGCCGCCCGTCCCTGCCCTCCCCAGGCCGCGGTGACACCCAGAGGGCTCGGAGTCAAGCTGCGCGTCTGCAAGGGAGGAGAAGGCGGATTTAATGAGAAAGAACATGAAAATGAACACATGTGTGTGTGCGTGACTGGGACAGTGTGCTGCACGCCAGAAACCGACACGCTGTAACTGACGGTGCTTCAACCAGAACAAAGAGAAAACAAGAAATGAAAAAAGAATTTAAAAATGAGAGAGGATGAGGGGCTTCTGAATCCCAAGTTATTTTAATACAGGCCAGTCCTTCTCTTCCTTCGACTTGCCTGGAATCAGCTCCACAGGACAGACAGACGGGGACCCACAGGCCCTGTTAAAACAACCACAAACCTGAAATCAGAAAAGGTATCAGGTGCACAGAGACAGACAGACTTCGGGGACCCTCCGAGTTCTAGTCTTTTCTGCCAGCGCAGCCCGGGAAGCGTGGTGAGTTCCCAGCTGTGGTGACACAGGTATGGCCAGGCTGCCCAACCCGTCCGGACCAGGAGGAAAGTGGGGGGACGGAGGACCAGGACCGGAGGCAGCACAGAGGAAACCAGAGAACCTTTCAGGCCAGAGACCATGAAGACCAGAGGAGCAAAGGAGGAAGGAAGCGGGGAAATCTAGCACCACCCTAAATACTCGGAGCATCGGGCACCCCTTCCTCCCCCGAGCAATCACAGCCCGCTGTCTGCTCTCAGGGCTGGGAGCGCTGCCTGGCGGGCAGACCCCACCTCGGTCGCCTTGGCTGCCTCGGCTGCCTCTCCACCGCCTGCCTGGACTCACAGTCTGGGGAGCGTTGAAGCTCCTACTGAGCTCCGGTCCCAAGGAAAACAAATCACAGTAAACACAGCGTGGGGGACCTGAGGTCGGGCGGGAGGTGGGGCCGTCAGTGATCCCGCCGTCTCTGGGCACTGAGGGCATCGTCCGCCTGTACCTGCAGCTGGGCTTCCCCGCGTGGCCTCCCTCCAAACACTTCCCTGACCTCAGCGCTGGGGGGAGCCCTTAGGAGTGTCCACGGAAAGTCATTCCTCCCGGGGCTCCTTTCCGCCCTCTGTGCCGCAGCCCTGTCCTCGCCCGACGTCAGAATCCATCCTTTCTCTCCCTCGGACCCATTTCTTGCGTCTTTCTCACCAGTCTTGTCTCCACCTCCTGCAGGACGCTTTCGTCTTCACTGTGACCCAGCGCACTCGCTCTGCAAAGCGTCTGTGGCCCCGGGCCCTGCGGCCTTGCAGGCTGCAGCTTTGCCCTTCAGACCCCGCTGCCTGCCGGGGGAGCGGCGCCTGCTGCATTTCCCACGACACTGCGATGCGTGCGACCTGCTCTCGGCGGCGGCGGCCCCTCGGAGCCAGGGGCCCTGCCCGCCCCTGCGTTTGTCCTCCGCCCACAGACGCCGAGTTCGGAGACGCCGCGCGTGACAGCGGGGACGGAGCTGAAGCCTTCGCCCCCCTCAGCTCCCTGGCGCGGATCCCACGTAAGAAACGGGCACAGGTCCCCAGACAGCCTGCGCGCCAGCGGCCCTGCAGGCTTCCCGGGGGCAGACGGCGCTCCGCAGCAGAACCTGCCGGCCCTGCGCCGCCGCCAGGGGACGCCGAGTCAGACAGCGCAGCTCCCGCACCTCCAGACACGCCCCTCTCAGCCCTGCCGCCCAGCCACCCGGCTCCGCGGGAAGGGGCCTTGTGCGCTGCTCCTCCTGCAGTGTGAAGAGAACTTGTGATCTTGTCGGGAGACGGCTAAGCCTGTAGAAATTAAAGAATCGTTGTTAACAGAGGGCCACGGTGTTGGCCTGTAGGAACCTCTCAGCTTCACCCAAAGACGACTAGGAAAAGGACACTTTAAAAAGGTAAGACCTCCCTGGGTCGCATTTTGCAGCCCAAGGTCATGCTTGGGGAAGAGGGGGTCACAGAGGAGGCGGCCACAGACTCCTAAGGCCAGAGCTCACCCCTCCATCCTCCGCCTTCGGACAGGAGGGACTGCGCCCCCCGCAGCCGCAGGCCCCGGGGACACGCTCCGGCCCCGCGCCCGCCCTCTGCACGTGTCCTCGCGCTGGCCATTGGGAAGGGCTGCTCTGGACTCTCCAGGCTGGTTGCCCAGAGTGTTTTGAGGATGCTGTCCAGGGACAGCCCGGACGCCCACCGCTCAGGCTTCGAGCCCTGGTGAGCGGGTGGTCTCTGCTCAGGGATCTGGGTTAGACCGTCAGGGAGTCCGGCCGCGAGGTCCTCGACTGGTCTGTGTGGGAGTCTGTCACCCCTTTCTGCCAACAGCAGAGCAAGAGAAAGCTGCGGTCAACTCCCCACCTCCCCCACCGAGCCTCCGCTGTTTCCTCCCTGAGATGAGGAAACGTGGCCTCCCAGGGAACAGGAGCCAAGGAGGAGCGCTGCCCCGGCTGCCACCAGCTCCGCTGTCTAGCTGCCCAGAAGAGGGTCTTCTCTAAGACGGGGTGGGGGGGCCTCCAGCCCAGAGTCCCCGGGCTTATTCCAGATTGTTCTGAAATAAACCCAGTGGGAGGAGCCCCACGTGCATGAGAAAGGAACTCAACTGGCAAGGGATGTGGTCTCAGGGAGAGCCAGCCCCCCCGGGACCCCTGCCCCGCGCTCGCTACAGCCCAGCAGCCCTGTCTCCTCGGGGAAATTCATAGAAAGAGCAAAACCCAGGAAACTCAGTTCCGCTGAGGCGGGAAGCCCCATAAAAAGACCGGCAGGACCCCTAGGCAGGGCCGCTGCTCTCCCGCCGGCACCATCCGGTTCCTTGGCCCAGAGGCTCTCTCTCACTTTTTGCCTCTAAAGCAGCTAACTTACACCTAGAATTCTATTGGTTCCCTGAGCTCACTTCTGATTGGTTGTTACTCTCACTTCTGATTGGTTGTTACTCTCACTTCTGACTGGTCCACTTCTCTAACTTCTGATTGGTCTATTTGTAGTACTTCATTTGCATGGAGCTTACTCCTGATTGGTCTATTTCTAAAAGCTTGTTCCTGATTGGTCAACTTCTGTTGTACTTTATTTGCATATGATGTTGCAAAGTGTAAAACTG